TCTCAAAAAAAAAAAAAAAAAAAAATCCACATCATGTAGTAGTTTTCTTCTAGTAGTTTTATACTTTCAGGTCTTACGTGTAAGTCTTGAAACTCCTACTTAGCAAAAGCATCTGAATTAATATTTTACCATACATTTCTTTGCATTGACTCACACAATTTTGCTGTTTATTCCATTCCTCTAGAAGCCTATAGGTGGCATTAGAATGAAACAGAAGAGTTGGATTAGGGGATGTTGTGTAAAACACGCATGATTTCTAATGATGTATACACATCCTTTTTTTCTCCTAAGGAAGCAGATGTCACCTTGATAGTGATTGGACAGTCATCCTACCATCATATTGAGGTAAATATCTAGTACATTGGGAGACTAATGAATAAAATCTGTTTCAGACATAAAAATCACATTATTTAAACCACTAAATGTAGGCTAAATCGGCTGAAGTTAAATTGTCATTACTTTTCTCTCCTTTGTTCTTGTAAAAATTCCAACTATTCTCTCTTTTCAGTCTTTTTGCAAACTGACTGGATATTCTCATGAAATCTATGTCGATCCTGAGAGAGAAATTTATAAAAAATTGGGAATGAAAAGAGGTGAAGAAATTGCCTCCTCAGGTAAGACATAACAACATGTCTCAAATAGAAAACACTGATGGAGTATTTTTATATTTGTATGTATATGCATAGGAAAACATGGTCAGTTCATAAATTGGGCTTTTTTTTTTTTTTTGAGACAGAGTTTTACTCTGTCGCCAGGGCTGGAGTACAGTGGTGTGATGTCAGCTCACTGCAACCTCCGCCTCCCAGATTCAAGCGATTCTCCTGCCTTGGCCTCCTGAGTAGCTGGGATTACAGGCGCCCGCCACTATGCCTAATTTTTTTTTTATTTCTAGTAGAGACGGGGTTTTACCATGCTAGCCAGGCTGGTCTTGAACTCCTGACCTCGTGATTCACCCACCTCGGCCTCCCAAAGTGCTGGGAGTACAGGCATGAGCCACCGTGCCCAG